CTAACGACTTTATCTGACATAAAGTCATTATAGCATACTACCATACTTTAGGGAAGTTATTTAAACTCGTGCCCTAAGTGGTATAATTTTAGTAACACCAAGCTGTACTGCCATATTTATAGCATTTAACATCTTATCCATTTTAATCAGAGATAATCCTAAAGTAATATCAGGTTCTTTTATTATTTTTCTTATACAATTAATAATATTTATTGATAAATTACTTTTGTTTATATTAGTGATTTGTGCTATAAACTCACCATCTATAGAATTAAAAATACGAAATTGATCATTTACTTTAAGTCTCAACACTGTTCTTAAATAATGTATATGTTCTTGATCTAAATTTAATGAACTATTTACAATTAAACTAGTATTTACATATATTCTATTAAGGTGAGAGAATTTCATAATCTAGGTAATTAGATATGATAAAAGATAATAATATAATAAATAATAGTAATTTACAAAATGAAAAAGATTCACGAAAAGATAATTCTATTCAAAAGGAAATAGGTGGTTTTAAAGGTATGGAACCAACTAAATATGGAGATTGGCAACATAAGGGAAGAGTAACAGATTTTTAAAAAATAATTTTAAATTTTTATTCTTATGCTATTAGTGGCATCATAATAATGTGATATTATAAATGATATAATTAAAAAGGATTAATTTATGTTAATTGAAAAAATTAAAGCAATTCCTAAAGAAGGAGAGATAAATGTAATTATTGAAATTCCAATGAATGATAACAAGCCAATAAAATATGAATTTGATAAAGAATCAGGCGGAATTTTTGTTGACAGATTCATGCAATCTCCTATGTACTATCCTTGTAATTATGGGTTTATTCCACATACGCTTGCCAATGACGGTGACCCAGTTGATGTATTAGTTATCTCACATTATGCTTTAATAGCTGGTTGTGTGATTAGGACTCGCCCCATTGGAGTTTTAATGATGCAAGATGAATCTGGTATGGATGAAAAAATCATTGCTGTGCCAACTTCTAAATTAGATATTACTTTTGACACGATTAAAGACCTAAATGACTTGAAGAATTTTAAACCTTTATTACAAGAAAGGATAGTGCATTTTTTTGAACATTATAAAGACTTAGAAAAAGGTAAATGGGTAAAAATAATAGGTTGGGGTGATGTGCAACAAGCAAACTTGTTAATAAAACAAGGACTAGCTAAAATTAAATAATAGTTGTGATATTAATTCGCTCTGGAATTATAGTAGCTTGTTTTACCTTAATTTCTCGTATATTTGGCCTAATCAGAGAATTATTCATTGCATCATTATTTGGTGCAACAAATATTGCTGATAGTGTTAACGTGGCATTTAAATTACCTAATTTATTTAGACGTATTTTTGGTGAGGGTGCTCTTGTTTCTTCTTTCATCCCTATTTTTAATGAAAAAATTTTAGAATCAAAAGATTCAGCTAGTTATTTTGCCGGGGCAATTTTCACTATTTTATTATTAACCTTAATAATTATAGTTGTATTAATGCAAGTTTTTATGCCTTGCTTAATGTTTATTATTGCTCCTGGTTTTCAAGAAAATCTAGAAAAATTTAACTTAACAGTACTTTTATGCCGCATTACTATACCTTATTTAGTTTTTATAGCAATTACTGCTCTGTTTGGAGGAATGTTAAATTCAATTAAAAAATTTGCATCTTTTGCCTTTGTCCCAGTCATTTTAAGTCTATCTGTTATAATAGGTACTATAATATTAAAACAACATATAGACCCACCAATATCTATAAGTTTATCCTTAATAATTGCAGGATTATTACAATTATCCTTTATGTTCTATTGTATAATAAAATCAGGGTTGCACTTTCCATTAATATTAGATTTTTCTAATAAAGACGTAAAAAAGTTTTTTATAAATGTAGTACCAATTACTATTAGTTCAGGTACACAACAATTAAATTTATTTATTTCTCAATCAATAGCTAGTTTTATTGAAGGAGCAATTTCCATATTATCTTATGCTGATAGAATATATCAATTTCCCTTATCGTTAATAGGAGTAACTTTAGGAACAATATTATTACCTGAATTATCAAAAATATATAAACTGAATGATTTGAAGCAAGCTGTGAAGATCCAGAATGAAGCTATTAAAATCGGTCTCTTATTATCATTACCTGCTGCTTTTGGTATAATTGCTTTAGCAGACCCAATAATCCATATAATATATGAACGCGGAGAATTCTCTCTAGAAGATAGAGTTAAAACTGCTGAAGCAATTTCAGCTTTTGCTATTGGTCTTCCTGCTTTTATACTTATTAAAATCTTGACACCAATTTTTTATGCTAATCAAGATACTAAAACCCCATTGAAAATAACTATTTATTCTCTTATTATTAACACACTATTAAATATAATTCTAATGATAAAATTTAGTCATGTCGGTATAGCACTTGGTTCTTCTATAGCTGCATGGTATAATGCATTTTTACTTTATAAATATACAAAGAAGCATGGTAATTTTTCTCTTGATTCAAATATAAAAAGTTTTTTTTGTAAAGTAATATTTAGCTGTATATTTATGTTAATAGTAATTTCTATGATTAACTATAATATTGCAGATTATTATTATTCTAAATTATTACTCGTAAAAGTCTTATCTTTAGGAATAGCTATTATCATTGGCATTATAGCTTTTTTCTTAATGATATCATATTGTAATTATAAAAACCAAATTGTAAAACAACTCATAATTAACTATAACAAATTAAGATTAAAGTAATGTATACTATTGTTATTATTTAATATTTTATTAAGTCCAATGAAAAAGGAACCTAATTACCAGGATTTACTTAAGACTTTAGTCCTATTTACTATGATAATAGATCATTGTGGTGTGTATTTTTTTCCTGAACAACAAATTATTAGAGTTATTGGCCGTAGTGCAATGCCAATATTTTGTTTTTTTGCTGGATATAATTTTCATAACAAACCTAAATCTATAATATTAATACTTGGAATTATATTATATATTGTAAGTTCAATATTAATTGGAAAATGGACTACCACTAACATTTTAATTCCAATTTATTTAGGCCAATGTTATCTATATTTTTTCCATAATAGTTTAAAGATTTTTTTTTATAGTGGTTATTGTCATGTTATTTTCCTAGGAACATTATGGTGTATTACTTGGTTTTTAGTAGATTATGGTTCTTTAGTTTTAGCCATTATGGCACTTGGATATATTGCTAAACATGATTCTGATAATCTTAATTTAGCAGTTTTAATTTCTATAATTTTATCATTATTTCATACAATTATTACTTTTGGATTCTCAGATTTTTATATTGTTATAGTTATTATTTTAGGAATAATGGAATATATGATTATGGTGATGAAAAATTTTAATTATAAAATTAAGATAAATTTGAGAATAATAAGTCGTAATAGCTTATATATATATTTTATTCACCTAATAATTTTTGAATTTATTTTTGCCTATTTTTTTACAAATAGGTGAAGATAAAATTTATCTTGTAAATCTATTTGGAGAGCTGGTTTTTCTATCTATTCCTACCTTATCTATATTGCTTTGCTGTGTCTTGTCTTTTCTTGATGCAATTATTCCTTTAACAAGATTCTCTTAATAAAACAGCGCCAACTTCATATTGGTCATCTTTGAATTGATTATATACTGATACTCGTTCTTGATAGTCTACTGGCATAAATTACCCCCTGTATATATAAACTTAATTATAACTAAATTAGTGTAAATATGTACTAATTTTTGGTAATAGATTGTTTTTTAGTCAAAGATATTATAATTCCACAAAATAAAAGCATAATAGTCATAACAAGAGGTACATAACTAGGAATTACTATGAAATGAGCAGCAAATATTTTAATACCGATTAATATTAATATTAGCGCAAGTGAATATTTGACATAATTAAATCGTTCAATAATCTTTTTTAAGAAAAAAAATAGAGTGCGCAGACCAAGTATAGCAAAAATATTAGAAGTGTAAATAATATAGGGGTCATTAGTGATAGCAAATATCGCCGGTATACTATCAATTGCAAAAATTATATCCATTACTTCTACAAGTAATAAGGCAATAAAAAGAGGGGTAATATGTAATTTGTTATTAATAGTAACAAGAAATTTGAAACCTTTAATTTCATGAGTGATATTACAATATTTTTGTAATATCTTATAAAGATAAAAATCTCTTATATCAAATTTTTTACCAGATATATAAAAAGTTTTTATACCTGTAATAATAAGAATGATAGCAAAAATATATAATATCCAAGAAAATTTAGTAATAAGAAGAATACACAATAAATCATGATAGCTCTAAAAACTAGAACCCCTATACCTAAAAACAATATTTTATGCTGATAGATAACTGGAATAGCAAAAAATTGGAAAATTACTGAGATAATAAAAATATTATCTAGCGCCATAGCTTTTTCAATAAAAAAACAAGTTAAATATTCTCTTGCTTTTTCTTCACCCATATTATAAAAAATATATATACTAAAGAGACATGATATAAATATATAAAGAGCACTTAAAAAAACAACTTTGACGAAAGCTCATTACTTTATCATGCTTCTGGATAACACCAATATCAAAAATTAATATCCCCAAGATTAGAATATAAAAAAACAACCCAAGCCACAATTAGTACATCATAGTTAAAATTTATACCCAATAGTTGGGTAATTCAGGTTTTTAAGTATTACCCATTTGTGAAGCAAAGCAAGACATATCTATTCCTAAATATTTAAGAGCAGCATACCATTTTTTTTCAGGATTATCTGAAAAAATTAATTCTTTATCACAATCTGCTACTATCCAAAGGTTATTTTTTAGCTCGTTTTCAAGTTGTCCACCCTTCCAAGCTGTATAACCAATAATAAAAAGACTATTTTTAGGCCCGTTACCAGAAATAATATCTTGCGGAATTTCAGGATTAGAACTTACAGCTATATCATTTTGAGAATGTAAAAGCAAATTTTTATTATAGTCATCTGAATGTAGGAAAAATCCTCGTTCATGTTCAACTGGGCCACCAAGGTATATTGGTATTATAAGGTTATCATCGACTTTATCACTAACTATTTTAAAGCATGATTTTAATTCTATATGGTTTACTAAACGATTAAAAATTAACCCCATTGCTCCTTCTTCTGTATGAGATAGCATGTAAATAAGAGCTTTGTGGAAAATACCTTCACTTAACATATAAGGAGTAGCAATCAAAATCTTACCAGATAAATTATCAAATATATTATCACTCATAATTTATTTAAACTTTTTTTAAATTATTCAGCCACAAAACAATTAATTTAGGATAAGATTTTAACTATAACAAACACCAACAATCACAGAGATAATTTATTTTAATATTTTACTCCCCTGTTAATAACATAACATTATCCTAAATTAACATAAATTGCCAATTAATATTACATAATTATTGTCAACTCAACTAATCACAGTATATATGTTATCTTACATGATTATTCAATAGGGATCTAGTAATAAAAACATTAGTAATTGAATTACAAAATTAATATTTAATAAATAAATTTATATAAAAAAAGGGGGTAATTACATATAAATCTAGACCAATAGAAACTAGAGACAGTACCAAACTTATACAAAAAAGGAAAGAAATAAACTAAAATTAATATAAAGGGCTATAAAATAATTATTAAGAATTAATAATATAAATATTTTTACATTTGAATAAAATATAATCATTATAATGGGATTGTTGAGAGATAGATATTTATGTTAGAATTAGAGTAAGTAGGACAATTATGTAAAAGATAAGTAATTGTTTTGAGAAATTCCTATTTAATTTT